GAGAGAGAGAGAGAGAGAGAGAGAAAGAAAGAAAGAAAGAAAGAAAGAAAGAAAGAAAGAAAGAAAGAAAGAAAGAAAGAAAGAAAGAAAGAAAGAAAGAAAGAAAGAAAGAAAGAAAAAAAGAAAGAGCAAGTGTGAGAAAGGAGGTACGGATTCTAGCCAGGAACCACCTAGTTCTCTCTTTGTCCTGATTCACCATTGTGTTCCCAGTGAATTTCCAGGGGGAGATGGGTTTCTCAGGACAGCCCTGGAAGTGTGGCTCCACATAGCAGCTACTCAGTGGAGACAGAGAAGCCTTCTGCCAGAGAGGACCTTAACTGGTGTGGCATAACTGGGAGACCCACTGAAAAAGGCAACATCCATAACACCTCCTTCAGAGAACCACCAGAAAGCCCACCTGCCCCTTTGGGTCAAGAAGGGGACATCGCAGGCTGTTCGGTGACAGTCGAAAGTTGAAGCAGCCTGAGGACTTCCTATCCCAGCCTCTCAAGGGTTGGGGGGCCAGCAACCCGCAACCCCCTTGACCTGTGCCCATCCCAAGGTGGACAAGGTGACACCTAAAAGAATGTGGGAGGGACGTGTCCTCTTTCCTTACCTGCTTGTGTTTCCGGAAACACTGTCTCCTCCTTGTAGGGATCACAGAAGAATCCTTCCAGGGAGCGGATGGTGCACTGGCCCACCACAGGCTTGCGCCCAAAAGGCCTGTTGTCAATGACTTTGATGATGATGGGGGGGCTGTAGAGGTCTTCCTTGGGCAGGCGCTGAAACAGGAACAAGCACCCTTGATTACTGTATTGGTTTCATGTGAGTTGCCTTAGCCCCCCCCCTTAGGGAAGGAAGGAAGGAAGGAAGGAAGGAAGGAAGGAAGGAAGGAAGGAAGGAAGGAAGGAAGGAGCTGACGATGGACAGAAGGGTCAAGAAAGACCCACATCCTTTCCATCTGGATCGAGACAGAAAAGCAGGCGTGATGCAAAGCTAACCATGCCAAGACAGAACAACTTGCAGACAGGCAAGGGTGGCCATCCCTCACCACTTCCATGAAGAGAACAGAGACGTCAAAGTTGGAATTCTTCTTGAGGTTCTTGATCACACATGATTGAACCATCTGCCCGCCGCACTCCACCAGGAGACTTGGGGAGGTCACACTGGCCAGCTGGTAGCTTTTCATATTGCGGAGCCCCCAGGCCAAGATCTGCAGTTGGGGAGAACAGGAAAGACATCCAACTGTGTCAGGTAATGAAGGGCAGAGAGAAACAACCGGCATTGCGCAAAAGAAACACCGAGGGCTAGATGTGGCCAAATGATTCCCAGTGTCTTTTTCAAGGTCTCTGTCGGGCCTGGGCTGGGCAGGAGACTCTTCTGTCTTGAAGCCATGAAAGGGAGAAGCTCTGGTCTCTTGCTCTTCAAGAGCGACCTTCAAGAGGGTGCCCTTGGTTGGACAAGAGCTTCCAAGTGATCCTCGAAAGCAAACTTGGTGGGCACAAGCAATCCACTTTCAACCACTCCAGCCCAGCTCCAAACTTTTTTGCTACTCAAAGAGGTCTGACTGGCTGCAAGGCAAGGCTGGGGGGGCTCACTGTCTCCTGGACATTGTCTGGTCGGCAGGAAACAGACAGAACCAGTCCGGGCCCTAAACCAGCGGTTCCCAACCTTGGGTCCCCAGATGTTCTTGGACTAAAACTCCCATAAGCCTTCACCACTCACTGAGCTGGCCACGATTTCTGGGAGTTGTAATCCAAGAACATCTGAGGAGCCACTGCCCTAGATAGTCCCAAAAAGAGAGAGAGAGAGCTAAATTGTCATCTGAGGCCACCCTTTCTGTTGCATTCTCCATGTGATGGAGATGCAATGGTTTCAAACCTACAAAGTGTAGACCTTGTTGTGAGGACCAGTAAACTGTGTCTCCTCATGTCGACCAAGCCCTGGTGGAAACAGGACTTCCCTTTATTCGTCTACCTTTGGAGATCTTGTGGGGAAACGTCTCATTCTAATTGGGCCTTCTGCACTCACCTCTATGGCTGTACGCTGAAGGACGGGTTTGATTCCTTGAGGCACCATGTAGATGTTCGGTTCTCTCTGCGGCGGAGGGTACGGGAGGTCTGAATCGGCAGACTGCAAAACGGGTGAGGAAAAGAAGCCAAACACACCCATGAAGGACCGGAGGCGAGCCCTGGAGCCAGAGGCCTCTTTAATCCATGGCCAAGCAGGCAGCTTGGGAAGCCCACCAGCTGGTCTGGAGTGCAACCTACACCATACATGATCTCTGGTACTGAAAACAGGCTACACACAACTCCTAAGCACTGATAAATGGCCCTCTTCTCCATTAATCTGTCCAGCCCTTTTAAAGCTGGCAGTCAACTCTACATCATACAGCAATGAGTTCCGCAGTTTAAGCCTGCAAGGAAAGGCCTTCTATTCTTCCTGGATCTCCTACGATCTCAGCTTCTTCACTGACCCACTTTTCTCTGTGTGTTTCCTTCACATGGGCAGACCAATGCAAAAGATACATGCCTTTCGAAGAAGTAGCCCGTACCGCGGATCTTGCCTGAAATTTACTCTGGGACTAGACATGAGGTGGCAGCAGTCTCCCAATCTGAGCACCCTAGCTGGGTTCAACAGTGAAGATCTTCCCCACCCATCCTGAAACCCTAATTTCTTGTGCTTCACAACAGGAGCCTGCAAAGAGTCAAAAAACAACTCTTGGGTCTTTGTCCTTTTTAAAAAAATAAGAGGGGGGAATGGGGGAATGTGGGGGGGAAGAACAATGGCTGCCAGGATGGGGGGGTGACTTCACAGGCACTGGCAAATCAGTGTTCTGCCCACAGATGGCTTCTCCACATTCAAATCAATCAGTCTCAAAAGGGCAGGGTTTTGTTTTTCCCAAGGTCTGATGAAAGCATACGGTCAAATTCAGCATCGTAAAACTGCTTCCAAACCACCCTAGCATTCGCCGCCCTTTCCCCGAGCAAAAATAATATCCCAAAGGTTCGTCTTGAACTTGAGCTTTTGGAGTTGAGAGGGTCTCAGGAGGAGAGGAAAGCCCGTAGGGGGAAAACAAGGGACCCCCTTAAATGAGGGCAGTTGGAAGTAATTTAGGAGGCAGCCACCCTTTCCAAACTTGAGTATTATTGCATTAAATTAAGGAGGCATATATATTTCAAACATCAGGTTGGGTTGTATTTATTTATAGATTCCTCCCTATGTATATTTCATAAGACTACAGAGAGGGGCTGCCCAGTGGTGGCCTGCCAGAGGCACTCGGGAATGGCGACGCGCTTGCAATTTTCCTCGTCAGTTGCCAGGAGCGGCCAAAAATCAAAACAGCTTGTTGGGGGACGTGCCTTTGCCAGCTCCACTCAGGGTAATTAGAACCACAGATGTCTCTCTAGAAAGGAAGACCCTGCCAGCCGCCAGCATCTGCCTGGAGGGTTCGGGAGGGTACGCGGGATCACAGCCTGAACAGAACATTGATGCGCAGAAGCCCTGGAGGAATGTGTCTGTTTTAAGCCATCAAAAGCTGGTGCTCTCCTCCCCAGCTTCAGGGCGCCTCCGGGAGCCCAGGAGTCAAAGGAAGTGCTGCAGAGAGCTTATCATTAGAAGCAGACACTCCTCAAGAGCTCCAAAGAGATATGAATGGGATCGCAAGAGTTTTCTCCCTGCCCCATCTGGCAGGCTAGCTCGTTTTCCTGGTGATTGGCCAGTTGGGGGGGGAGGTCACCAGAGGCTTCATTGGGAGGGCTGGTCACTCTGTTTCTCTTAGGATGATGCCTGGAATAAGCAGGATAATGCTGCTCAAGGAGGGCACTGACAAAGTGGAAGAGCACCTGCTGACATTTCGGGTAAGGGTGTGCGGATGTACGCAACTTCTCCCAGAATGCGCCAGGAGGCACACGGAACTCTGGGAATTGCACTCCAAAAAAACACAAAACTTCACACCTTGATTAGAGGACAACGACGGGCAGAACCACATACATACAAGACACCTGGTGTTCTGTAGGAAGCCCACCCACTCAGTTTCACAGAAGACTCTGTCTTGCTCCGATTCTGAAATGGTGACTCTGTGTTTCTGCACACACCCCAACGGCAGCCCATAATAATGCCAGGGCAAACCAGAGACTGCATTTTAGCCAGCGGCTCCTGGGATCTCCTGACCAGCATGTTATGTAGTGGACATGAAGCTGTGTCCGGAAGCCACCGCTTTCAACTTCCTGGGCCACACTGCATATGATGCTTTGTAGGGATCCGAAACAGTTGTTCTCAAGCCAGCCAGCCAGCCAGGAGGGACTGACTACAAAGGGGGGCAACTTTTTGAAAGGAGGGCCAGGGCAGGCATCAAAGATGGGCATCTTGCCCTGGATGCAGGAACTGCTAGGCTGGCACCTCCCAGACGTAAGTTACAGAGTTTCAGAGGAGACTGAGGAGGTTAAAAGGACAAACGTTATGGGTCTTGCGTTTGCTGCTCATTTTCCAAGTTGCTCAGCAAAATCTGCTTTCTACCAGCCAGTTGGTGGCAGCTGGCGAGCGACCTCCCTCGCCCGCCTGCCTCGCCCACAGATCATGCAGCTCGGAGGACAGAGGCACTGGTGCCTCGTTGGCAGAGCAGCTCCAAAGGGAAAGCAGGAGAGAAGCCCACAGGCCCTCCGGCCGTTGCGTCGCGTAGGGAACCCGGAGGGCCAAGTAGCAGGGAGTTAAAGGCAAGGCAGGAGAGCTGGAGGGGTGCGAGCAACGGCCAAAAGGCATCATCTGTGGTGTTTCTTTGGACATTGCCTGGAAGTGGCAGGCTGTCTCCTAACCCGGGGTGGCTACTGGAGGGAAACGCACAAGCGTTTGCAGGAGACACCCATGCGAATTTAACGGGATGGCTCTGTAAGCATTTTGCCCCGCCGGATCATGCCAAGGAAATCAACTGGCCCAACGTGCAGATCCTGACAGGAGACCACTGGATTCCTGCGGGAGCTCATAATAAGCAGCTTAGAGTAGTCTTGGTCCGATGGGTGGGTCCTTGTGCATCCGATTCAGATCTTTGGCATCTCTGGGCGAGGGTCCCATTTTTAGCCCATCCCAGCTCAGTCGGATGGATCTGCCTTTGGCTTGGAAAGGCCCTCCTCTCTTGGGAGTTATAGCTCTGAGAATCCCTCACCCACCCTGGGCACCCGTGGGGTGGCGTGAAGGTGGGGAATGGATTCCATGGGGAAGCCATGGTCCGGAAGAAGTAACATTGCTAAGCAGCCCCTGACACACACACCCCAGATGATTTCTCAGAAACTTTTTGACACATTTGCTCACACCCCAGGCGGTTGCCGAGCTAAGAGGGAAGGAGCGGGTGACCAAATGGGGGAAAAAAATAATACCCATTGGAGAAGCCCTTCGTAATAGAAGGCAGGCGTGCACAGCTGAAGAGGGCCCGATCCGGCAGAGGCACAAGGTGGCAGAGAGAGAAAGCAAGAGAGATCATTACAGACAAGTCACACATCCACACAAGCAGTGTGTGAGAGAGACAGATGAGCCCCCTTGCATCAATGCATCGTTTCTGACTGATCGAGCCCCGCTGTGAGGAGGCACTTCATCATCATCCGTCAGCTGCAGACTCAAGCCAGCCGATGCCAGGACCTGCCCGGCTTATAAGAAGGAGAAGCAACACACGGCCTCAAGAACACACCGGTCTGTGGTCAAAGCACTCCACATGCATCATCTGGTTGACATCCTTAAAAGGAATGCAAAAATCAGGTCCTCGTCGCTTACCATGATCATGATCACGATGGCCAATTTCCAAGTTGCAGACGGGAAGGGGTGGATCAGAAAGGAAGCGCCACAGAGCTCAGTGGCAGGGCAGCCGGCCGGCAGAAGGCCCCTGGCTGGACCTTGGGCACCTCCAGGTGAGGCTGGGAAAGGCTCCTGCCCAGAAGAAGCCTTGGGGAGCCACGGCTGCCAGCCAGGGAAGGCAAAACTGAGCTGATGGGACCATCGGTCTAAGGTGCAACAGAAGGCACCTTCCCATCGCGACTTGCTTATATTCTTCTTTGGCTGCACCTCCTTAAAGAGAGACCTTGTGGAGCTAAACACAGGGGGCTAAATCCCATTGCTAGACCCATTGAACTAAGAGGGCCTTGGTAAGACAACCCTAAAAATAAGTCCCGCTGGTTTTCCTGGGAACTTACATCTGTGGGAACGACAAGGGCGATTCAGGCTGAGATCTCTAGACATGGCTACATGGGGTTGCACGCCACTCAATGGTTTTGATGGGAGGGGGTTATTCCAGATGGGTTCTCCCCGGTCATGCTCTCTGAGAGAGAAATGATTCTCTTTTTTTTCCCTCTCAATAGAGACTCACCTCATCCAAGACGGATAACTCTGTCTGTAGCATTTTCCCGATCATATGCAGAAACAGCCACGTACGGGAGACAAGAGACAGACAGACAGACAGACAGACAGAGAGGACAATTAGAAATCCCTGTGGATCATCCATAAAGCAACCTTGACAACAGCACAATAAATTTTATACTTGACGGCTTGGTGGTATTCACCTGCCACCTGGCACGCATACACGCCCCCCATGGCTTCTGTTTCAAAAACTCAGCAGGGCCAGACGTGGTTAGTCTTCAAGCGAGAGACCCCCTGGGAATCCCAGGGATCTCCAAGTAGGGCCACAAAAGGATCCAGCCTGAAACCTTGAAGAATGGCTGTCAGCCAGAATTGGCAACGTTACTGGGCTGGATGGTCCTCGAGGGTCCAGCTCAAGAGAAGGCGGCCATGGTCCTCTTCCTGCACTGCTTGGAGTGAACAAAGAGGTCCTGAACCAGTTGGCCAGTTTTGATTTGGAATGTGTGTATGCCACCCGACCACCAGAGAACAGAAGCAGATGAAGGACGGTCTATTGATTGATTGATTGATTGATTGATTGATTGATTGATTGATTGATTGATTGATTGATTGATTGATATCCCGCCCATCTGGTCTGGCCAGCCACTCTGGTGGCAAAAGCCTATGTGGTGCGTCCAAATTTAAATGATTTACAGGTCAGCAGCATGAGCATCATAGGGCATAAATATGCATAGCCAAGGATATACAGCTGAAGAACCACATGACTGGGCAATCCAGCTATCCTAGCTGTGGGCTTCTGGGAGATGTAGTCATAAGCACCTGGAGGTCACCAGGTTGCAGAAAACTGGTGCATATACACTAAAAGGCTTCAACAGGAGGCCCCCGGTTGCAGTCAAGCAGAGGGTGGACTTCTTGCGGGCTGCCGATGGTCCTGCCCCTCCCTGCTGCCCTCCTTCAACCCCTGATGAGCTCTCTAGTGATGGGAACCGGTGGGAGACACAGCACGGACAGATGCTGTTCCCGATGTCAGCACAAGTGAAAATGTCTTACCTCAAAGCCAGGGATGTGGTGGATGGCCGGCTGGAAAACAAAACAAAACACAAGTTGTTCAGCCTGGTTCTGACTTTCTCTGGAATGAAGAAACCCTTCAGACCCCATTCCCACCTACACAGAAGAAGAGAGACGGCCCTCTGGACGGGCAGCCTGGAGGAGGCTGTTCTCATTGAGCGGTGCTTTCCCCCCAACCTTGGGCAACCCAGGCGTTCTTGGACTGCAGTTCCCAGAAGCCTTCGCCTCCAGCTGTGCTCACCAGGATATCCCAGAAGCCTTCGCCACCAGCTGTGCTCACCAGGATATCTGGGAGCTGCCGTCCGAGAACATCTGGGTTGCCCCAGGTTGGGAACCCCTGCCCTGAAGCCACGGAAGGTCAGAGGGAATCTGCTGACTTGCTGCTTTCAGCCCCTGAACACGGTTCGAAATGTCCAAAGAAGACCCAAATCAAATGCCAAATGTAGGCACGCAAGCTCCTGAGTTCTCAAAGCTCTCTTCGTGAACTCTCTCACTGCACAGAATTCACATTTGCTCATCCCAAAGATGCACTTAATGCTTTTAATGGGTATCGTAGAGAATTATGGTTGTACAGTAAGCAGTGAGGAGGAATTAAAGAACCTTGTAATGAGGGTGAAAGAGGAGAGTGCAAAAAACGGTCTGAAGCTCAACAACAAAGAAACTAAGATCATGGCCACTGGTCCCATCACCTCCTGGGAAAGAGAAGGGGAAGAGATGGAGGCTGTGACAGATTTTACTTTCTTGTGCTCCATGATCACTGCAGATGGAGACAGCAGCCATGAAATTAAAAGACGCCTGCTTCTTGGGAGGAAAGCGATGACAGACCTTGACAGCATCTTAAAAAGCAGAGACATCACCTTGCGAACTAAAGTCTGAATAGTCAAAGCTATGGTATATCCAGTAATGATGTATGGAAGTGAGAGCTGGACCATAAAGAAAGCAGACCGCCGAAGAATTGATGCCTTTGAATTGTGGTGCTGGAGGAGACTCTTGAGAGTCCCCTGGACTGCAAGGAGAACAAACGTATCCCTCCAGTACTTTGGCCATCTCATGACAAGAGAAGACTCCTTGGAAAAGACCTTGATGTTGGGAAAGTGTGAAGGCAAGAGGAGAAGGGGACGATGGAGGACGAGATGGCTGGACAGTGTCTGCGAAGCAACCAACATGAATCTGACCCAACTCCGGTAGGCAGTGGAAGACAGGAGGGCCTGGCATGCTCTGTTCCATGGGGTCACGAAGAGTCAGACACGACTAAAGGACTAAACGACTAAACGACAACGACGAAGCAGTCTTCCTCTCCAGTCCCTCCTGCGAGAGACATCCGGACTCACCCAGGAGTCCCACCCCAGAGATGCAAAGCACGTCTCTCCACAAATACTGCAAAACACTGCGTGCTCCGTGCCTGTCCGAAGCACCAAGACACTGTATGATCTTGGCAAGGAAGATCTTCCTGTAATGTGGGGGCACCCCTCCTCTGCCCTGAAGCCTCGGGCACGGCCCAGGGAAGGATGGAAAATCCAGCAGCTCACATTTCCTCTGGAAACAGCAGCTCCTCACAGATTCTTCCTCCCCGCCTCCCCAAAGCACAGCAGGAGCTCAAGGGGCTGGTGGCAAAAGTCAACCTGGACTCCACTGTGGATGACGAAGGGACAAGACGCCCGAGGAAAGTGAGGGGTGTCCATGGCTAGAGGTTTCATCTACAGGAAGCGTGCTCCAGCCCTGCCAGTCTGGGAACGGGCAAGGGTCCACATAAGAAGAGAAGCCGCCACCTGCTTGGACAACAGCACCCCGAATCTCCCAACTAGCCGGGCTACTGGCCCACAGCCATCGTGTGACTGGGGCGTTCTTGGAGTTGTCATCCAATCAAAGCCATTGGTCCCGGCTTTGACCAGGAGTGGCTTTTGTGCCAGAAGATCTGCAGAAGTTGCAGAAGGTGCCAATTCATCACAGAGATGAATGCCAACAATTCAAACACACCGACTCTTCCTTGTTGGTACTCCTGGATCGCTTGGATACCGTCAACCACAATACGGTTTAGGGATCAGGGGTCCCATCCTTAGCTGGTTCCAGTCTTTCCTTGATGGCTGATCTCAGATGGCACCACTTGGGGAGGGCATTTACACCCCTTTGGGACCTCTGCCTGGGAATCAGCTGTCTCCCCGATGCTTCTTAACGGCCACTGTGAGAAGCCATTCTGAGATATGGGGTTCGCTGTCACCAGTACACGGATGGCATGCAGGTCTGTCTCTCCTTCATGTCACCCGCAGGTAATGCTGTACAGGTCCTTAAGCGCTGCCTACCATTGATAATGGACTGGACAAGGGCTAATAAACTGAAATGGAATCCAGATAAGATGGAGATGTTCATGTAGGGATCCTCCTTGGGTCAGTTGGAGGGACATTTGCCTGTCCTTGACAGGTTTGCGCTTCTCCTTAAGGACTGGGTCCGTTGCGTGGGTGCATTCTTAGACCCGGCTCTCTCTATGGAGGTGCAAGCATTCACTCTGAACAAAGAGTGCCTTTCCTCAACTTCAGTTGAGTGCCGACGTGCCCCGCTACCTTGGGAAGAAAAGGCTCACAACAGTGGTTCATGCCTTGGTAAACTCTAAAACAGACTACTACTGGAAGGACAGATCCTGAAGCTGAGGCTCCAAGACTTTGGCCATCTCATGAGAAGAGAAGACTCCCTGGAAAAGCCCCTGATGTTGGTAAAATGTGACAGCAAGCGGAGAAAGGGGACGACAGAGGATGAAATGGATGGACAGGGTCATCGAAGCGACCAACATGAATGTGTCTGACTCTTCATGACCCCATGGACAAGAGCATGCCA